AAGTTCCAAATTCCAGTCGATGGCCCTCTAGGACACCTTACAGCTTGAGTCTTTGCATAGTCACCTTGTCCTCGCAGGTCTTGTTCTGTGGTATTTGTCAGTCGATCGTGACCACTGAAAGTTCCACATAAGTCGAAAGTCTCCTTCAAGATGCTGCTTTAGCTAAAGTGTCTCTTCATAACAAGATTAGCAAGATCCAGTAAATATCCCACATGCGATGGAATCAGGTTCCCAATTTCTTTAAACTTCTTTTAACACTGATTACCTTAGATCTCTTACTCTCTCTAGCACGGTTTCCACTCTCACACACACTGGCGTGTACTGGGCTTTGAGTTGAAGTGTACTAGGGAAAGCGGATTTAATGAGTGCGTTCTGCCGAGCTCAGGGCCACGGGCTCCACCAGCTCTATAAATAGAGCCCTATATTCCACTGTGGAATGGGGTGGGAATCCAAATGTCCGCGTCAAGCAACAGTGCAGGGAGTCATGTTTCATATGGTTGCAAACTGTGTGTGTATGTGTGTGAGCTATTTAGGGACAGTTACAAGGTGTAGGCCCTGGCACATCTGTCTGGCTCAAAGAAAAAGTGCAATGTAATGGCCCCAGATTAAGAGAAGATGATAAATGGCTTGTCAGTTTGTAATTAATTTTTTTTCTTTTTTTCCTTAGTGATAATTTAGATTTTTTTTTTTTACATTACCTAATGTTTCTGAATGTCTTTATTTTTAAATTAAGAAGTAGTTTTTCATACGTTGTTAAAGGAGTCATCGGATGCAAAATTCACTTTTACATAAATGTGTGTTGGCTGTGTGTGTGTACACATCCACCCTATAATGATAAAAATCCACCCAGTGTTTTTTTTATAATTCACATAAATCTTAACCCCTTTCTCAAATCAAGCCGTTCTCAGATGCTTGGCTGTGTGACGTTACACAGGGCAAGGCCGCTCCCACGATTGCTGACTGACACTGGCATTTTACCTTAGACCCGCCCTGAGTGAGCTGTCAACAATCCTCCATTGTTTTACACTACCATTGAGAAATTTTAACCAATGTATGTTATAGACTTTTCATTAAAGGGGTCATATGACATTGTTTAAAAATAACATTATTTGGTGTATTTGGTGTAATGAAATGTGTTTATGTGGTTTAAGGTTAAAAAAACATTATTTTCCACATACTGTACATTGATGTTTCTCCTCTATGCCCCGCCTTTCTGAAACGCGTCGATTTTTTACAAAGCTCATCGTTCTGAAAAGTGAGGTGTGCTCTGATTGGCCAGCTATCCAGTGCTTGGCCGAATACCTCAAGCATGTGACGGAATTGTTACACCCCTTACCATATTGTGATGCCTAGTTCACTGACAAGCTACACAAAATCGCGTTTATAATCGCAAGGCGATTCATTGCCGATTTTGAACGCGATTTTGTGTAGCTTGTCAGTGAACTACGGCTCTGTGTAGTACATGCCGCTCCATCTGAACGCACGTGCTGGAGATTTACTACTAATCACAGGAGCGGCTTTTCTGACGAGATGCGCATGAAAATCGCATTCGACTGCCAGAATTTTAAAAGACGATATCTCCGTTTGCATTGAACTTTCAGCTTTTCAGCTTTGCTTTGAAAAAGTGAAATCGCAATCAACCACCCCTTTAAAAGTAATGCATTACAATATTGTGTTACTCCCTTAAAAAGTAACTAATTACATTACTTAGTTACTTCGTTAATGTATTACGTTACTTTTGCGTTACTTTTTTAATCTGAGCTGGGCTTGCTTGTTTTTAAAATAAAAAGTTCTATTTTTGGCAAATGTAAAAGTCCTTTCACACTAAAAGTGAAATGAATAAGCCTCAGGCTAAAAGAAATGTAAATTCACATCTGTACAATAGAGAGCGCAGCTCAAAACAAAGCTTTCAGCTGTGCTCACATTGCATTAAGAATAGGACAAAGGAGAAGATCGTTCAACACTCTTCAGCAATAAAAAAAGAAATACAAATGTTATGTTTATCTAAAGTCATTTTTGCTTATTATGGTTGAATTGGGTCATTGAAGGTCAGCAACAAAGGCAATTCGATAGTAAAATGGGATTAAATCCATAAAGGATATTTGTGTTATTTAGCATATTTAATTATTGCATGTTTGTGTCATATTCTAAGTTTGCATTTAACTGTTTGTAGTAATTTTGAGGAATACTGAATCTGTTTTTGTGCAGGTGAGATGAGTTAATGCATGTTCACATTTAGTCTAGAACTAAGCACACACAATTCCTCTGCACTTACTCCCAATTTCTCTCAACATGGAGACAGTCAGTAAATGGGAAAACAAAGTAACTGGCATTACGTATTTGAAAAAGTAACTCAAATATTTTTTTTTTCCTGAAATTAAAAAGTAATGTATTACTTCACTAGTTACTTGCAAAAAGTAATCTGATTACATACTGTAACTTGCATTACTTGTAATGCATTATCCCAATACTAGTCTTGAATCCACATCTCACCCTCCAATCAATTCCTGACAGAAATAGTCCTGTAATGTTGTGAATATAAAATATGATTGATGATTGATGTTAAAGTATCATGATTCCTAATTCAGTAACTCCATGAGGTCGGCAGGGAGGCTTTGGGCTTTAAATGTGTCTAAAATGAAAAGGCGATACTGAACGTTTCTTTGAAATAACTGTAATGTGTTCTTTCATGGAAACATACATGCATTCAACACACGAAAAAACATCATTATTTACAATTTACAAAGAATCACTTCTCTGTGAAAATAGCATTATAAATACGATTTACATAACAAAATAAATATGCAATTTACCAATGTAGATTGAGTTTCAGATATATCAAATATGTTACAGAACAAAATAGCAATTAGTAATACCTTCACATCTCTGTTGTTTTCGTTTCTTTTGGTTGATTTATTTGTTTTTATTATTTTTCATGAGACCGCTACAAAAAAAGTTATATTAAAAAAGTACTTTTCTATTAAATATTTTAACAGTCTAGAGTGTCTTCATTTGACAAAAGTACTCACAAAGGAGTCAGCTGTTAAGAAAACCTATACATAGATAATGAGCACAATACCCTCTCCCAATCGAGTGAGGATTTGCATTGATAAAACTGTGATCAATCGCCTTACTGTCCAGTCAGTACAATGGTGGTTTATTACACAAAGGGGAATAGCACTCAAACAGTGTAATTTTGCTTATTTTACCATTAAGATACTAAGAAAAATATGTCCCAAGAGTTTCTACATACACAGTGAAATGAGTGAAATCCCCATTTTAATACAATGTGAATGAGTTCAACTGAAAGTACACCAAAAAGGCATAGGGACCGACCTGAGTAGCAGGGTCACATTCAGGATAACGTGTGCCTGGAATGTGACTATGAAAAGGAGGATCTGTTTTCTGGAATTAGCATTTCATCCAGGATTTGTGAGCACCTATACATTTGGTACCATAGAGAAATAGTTCACCTAAAAATTCTGACATCATTTACTCACCCTCATGTAGTTTAAGAAATTTCAACAACGTCCAATCTTGTGTTTTTGTATACAAGCACAAGTGGATTTATACTGCTTCAGAATTCTTCCAAAAGTAGTCCATGTCATTACTTCCGTGGTATGGATTTTTCATCCACACCATGATACATATTCAGATTTTAGTGCTAGGGCTCACAACTGTCATTCACACTTGAGTTCAGGTAAAAGTCACTGATGGTTGTTTTGTGTCCACTTGATCGCAAATGAGATGTGAGAGCTATGGCATGAATGGCTTCAGAAGACTTGAAATGTATTTCTGTCATGACTACTCTCGGAGGGATTGGCATAGTAATGTACATGACAACGTTAATGTGTTTGGTCTTGGAGGAATAGTTCTGCTAAGCTGCTGCTGCTGCATCAGAGCAAGTACAGAGACTTGCTACTGCCAATCATCCACAACATGCTGCTGTGAGCATGTAAGAAATACTGCTGCTGCACATATAACATACATGGAATAACCCCCATATAACATACATGAATCACCTCGTAGCAGATCTATACAGGTGGAGCTGGGGAAGGTGGAGGGTTTCTGAAGCACGTTGCAAACTGCTAAAGCAAGCACTAGTCATATATTTGAATGTTGAGCAGCGAGCTCATTGGCTGCTGACACAGGAGAGAACCAATCAGCTGTGCCATGTGATAATGATGTCTTTTAGGTCAGGTTGAGTTAGACCTATCGGACTGCGCCATCTAGAGTTTCATGCCAGAACTCTGTATTGTATTGATCATATGGACTAATATGATACTTTCATGGCGCCATTATGTCCTCATGGTTTTTGGCAGAATAAATGACCATAAACTTTGATGGTATCAAAACCAGAAGCTTGGACATTTTTGAAAAGCTCTCCAGTTGTGTTTTACTGAAGAAATAAATAATGTTTGAAATGGCATGGGAGATAGTAAATGGTAACAGAATTTATTATAAGGCTATTACTATTCCTTAAAACACTATTATTATGACATATTTTATCACAACCCCAAGAATGGTGTTGGGGTTAGAGCAGGTGATCCAGTGTCTGTCTGTTCTGAAATTCCTGTTTTTAAGATTCTTGAGTAGATCTACATATTTTACATGTACTTCATAAACTCTATAATATGTGATACAGATTATAAACTCTATAATCGATAATCTCTGTTCTCTCGCTCTCTGTATTTTCTTCCACTGAATGGACATATACAACTCTAATAAACTGTGGCTAAATATATTGGTAAAAAATGAAAATAAGATAATAAAAAACACAAAGCAAACAACAATGCTGAAGATCCGTAAAACTGGATTACATTCGTGATACTTTTATGACCAAAAGATAAATTAATAGCAAAGATGCAGGTGTACCTTGTCCTGGTTACATGGTTCTTCAGTACTTTCACTTGTACTGTGTTGTATTGGGAACCTTTAAACAGTCAGCAGCCCATGGTTTAACTGAGGTGGATCTGACAAGGGCTCCATTCCAAATCTCTGTTTTGGGCGTCTCCACCATCTCCAAGCTGCTCAGTGATAATAGTATAGACTGGAGCAAAATGGACACCAACTGAAACCAAATGAGGGGATCTGGAGATGGAAGCCCCAAGAGAGTTGGCACAGAGCCCTGACTAAAGGCAGGCTCAGCCTGAGGTCAAAGCCGAGGTGGGTAAAGTGGGTATGGGGTTGGAGGTATCAAACGGACTGATGGGAAGCACGGTCCCAACCGGGAGCGAGTTCTTCCACGATATTTAGCTGCCGCTGCTGAGCATGCCCAGTAGCTTGCTTGGGTCCATGCCTTGCTGATGGGCCATCTTCTGCACGTCAAAGCCCATGTGCATGAGGAACTGGATAACGTTCATCTCCTGTCCCGTTGACTGATCTCGGATCGTTGGGCACGTCGGGTTGCAGTGAGGCCACGGACAGCTGTCGATCAAGTGCACGGGACAGCCTTTGGGAGGGGATTTATTATTTCGGCTGTTTTCTTGTAGACTGCGGTCCCAGCAGTGGAGCGCTCTGGGTAGAGACGTGCCTTTGACGTGAACGTCAGTCCAGTAACTATAACAAACACAAGAGGGAAGAGCTAGTCAATGAGCATCCCATTCATGTCATTAATGGAAATCAACAAAGCCATCATTTAAGTTAATGGGGAAATAACTATTTGAACTTCATTTAAATAACTAGAAAAGTGGTAAAATACAGTATAAATATACTCCTGAACTAGTCGAGATATACAAAATTCAAAGAGATCACTTACTTTCTTGTTATGAATTCATGCGAAAGGCAAGCTGGAGCAAACATGGCGCTGAAGGTAAGAAGTAGAGCATTAGAAACAGCAAAAAAATGTATTCACGTCAAACAAAAACGAATGCTTTGTTCACAATGAGAGTCTCTGAAGGGCACGTCAAACTTACGGGACATCCTTCAGAGTGTTCCTCAGCTCAGTCCCCAGATTCTGAATATAACGCCATTGGCCCTCTTGAACGGGCTGTCCCGTCAGATGAATGTTGTCTACTGTTAGCTGGGCTTCATCGAACAGCCACTGCACTATGAACACAGGGCCTGTGACAAAGAAACATCACACCGAGTTAACAAAAAATAAACAAACTCAACAGTGTCTGTAAGGAACTAGTTAAAATGTGGCTGGCTGTGGCTGGTGCCTTGTATGTCCTATACTCACGTTTAATGGTAGGATAAACTTTATATCCAAAGAAGCAGTTCCATTCTTTTCCTTCATAAGCCTGTCGGCATCGCTCAGGTACCACACCGCCCCAGTATCTGTCAAAAAAGAAAAGATAGATACATTCCTAAATGACTAATTCAGTCAAGTTCACATGTATATGAAGAAAAAGGTAATCATGGAATGCTATTTGTGTTTGAAAGACTGTTCACACCAAGTTGAATATTCAATGTCAATTTGCAAAAACATTTGCATGTCGCCAATGTGATGGTTTTCTAATCTATTTTCCATGGCACTGTGAAAAAAGCTGACCGACCAAAAAGATTTGCACTTAGGGTCACATGCCCTGAGCCGCTGCTGTTACATAAAGCTACAACGTGGTGGCGCTTATAAACAGAGTATTTTGCTAAGCGACAGTGAATAGCAAAGGAAGAATCCAGACCCAGCTCTCTTGTCTCTGTGCTCTTGTATTTGTTGCTGTCTGATAAACAGAATAACAGATTAAAAAAAAAGTCTGAATGGCTGTTTAAAAACCTACTGCCTGACTTTCTTCTCCATAACAAGCTGGTGTCAGAAATGAAAAGTTATGCAGCACTGCCCTTTTGTTATATAGTCACTTTTAGTTATACTGTAGTGGAGCGAAGATATGTCTTTGAGAACATGTGCAAATCAGATTTCTACAAGAACTGCATGACCCACCTCTCTGAAATTCTCATTTCTTATTCGAACTTTTCATCATACTGAGCATCACTTCCACATTTTTTCCCCCTCCAAATCCTTGCAACACACCATCACCATTAAAAGCAATGTTCTCTGACAGCATAAACTAATGTGACCATCCTTAAATGGATAGTGAAAATTCACCCAAAAATGAAAATTCTGTCATCATTCACTCAACCTCAAATTGTTCCAAACCTGCATGAGTTTCTTTTTTCTATTTTGAAGAATGTGGGTATGGAAAAAAGTCAATGGGGACCAAAATACATTTTTTTATACGGTAATAAAAATGTAATATTCTTACTTGATTCCTCTCTTGATGACCTCTGTGGGGGCACAGTTGATGGTGTCCACACAGTCAGTGCAGCGGTATTGTTTGTTGTCCAAGAACCAGCCAGAGTCGGACAGACCCCTGACCTGGATGTTTGTGTGACCCAACTCCTCCAGGAGCTCAGATACTGGGTCCACGTTCAGCAACACCCCAGTGCCACCCGCACTGTGGACAAGACACATAAATTTAGTCAACATCAGTCATGCATATCAAACTCATAAACCATGGTCTGCAATGTGGACTCACCTGCTTCCAGATAACAGCAGTATCTTAGCATTGTCCAGACCCTTTGTTAGCAGGTCCTTTACAACTTCCTTTATGATCAGTGAACCCATGAACGCATAGTCATCTGTACATAAAAAAACAACAATTTAATGACAGCTAGTGCTAACTAACTTATACGTGTTGGTGATGGAATCAAGTGGTAATATATTGATACTTTGATATAATAATCAAATGTTTTGGGTCATTACGATTAAAAAAAATATATATAACTTTTATTCAGCAATGATGCATTAATTTGGTCAAAAGTGACAATAAAGACATTTGTTATGTTACAACTGATTTCTGTTTCAAAAAATGCAGAGCATTTGATATGAAAAATATGAAGCAGCACAACAGTTTTCAACACTGAAATTAAAGGGGTCATATGATGTTGCTAAAAAGAACATTATTTTGTGTATTTGGTGTAATGAAATGTGTTTATATGGTTTAAGGTATAAAAAAAACACATTATTTTCCACATACTGTACATTACTGTTTCTCCTCTATGCCCCGTCTTGTCCAGCTATCCAGTGCGTTATGATTGGCCAAATACCTCAAGCGTGTGACGGAAATGTTACGCCCCTTACCATACTGTGATGCCGTCTCCCGGCACGACCAGACAAAACCAATAAAACCCATTACAAACGAGGCATTTGTTGCATCCAGTGGGGACATAGTTACGGATTATAATGACTTATACTGTCCTTTTACGCGCTGCGTTGCATTGCGTAAACATGAAACCATGTCTGCATTTGTGATCGGAGAAATGACAAACAACAAGTGCTACTCCACACTGCCCAAAACTCGCGTTTGAATCATCAGTGGCAAATCCTTTAAATGAAAACGTACTTACAGACTGTGAGTCAGAACAGCCGGCATTGTAGTCTACTCTCCCAGGAGCCATTTTAGGTAGGCGTGGTTAACTCGTAACTTTTATAAAGAATATCTCTTTGGATTTGAGACTTTAGTCTTTGCAACTTTACAGATCTTCTTTATGCACCAAGAGCTTGTAACACTCCAAAGAGAAATGAAAAATTGAAATCGCATCATATTACCTCTTTACGAAATGTTTTTTTGAGCAGCAAATCAGCATACTAGAATGATTTCTAAAGGATCATGTAACACTGAAGACGGGAGTAATGATGCTGAAAATTCAGCTTTGCTACCACCTTAATAAATGTTTTATATATATCTTTTTTTTTTAAATAATTAATTTTTATTTAAAAATATTTCACAATATTGCTGTTATTTACTGATTTACTGACTGTTCAAATAAATGTGTCACGAATCCGGTCTATGAACTTCAATTCACTCACCACCAGAGGTCACCCTTCCATTACATTGACTCTTGCACTGCACACACTGTTGCATGTCATCCTGGACTACATATCCCATCATCCATTGCACTGATATAACACTCACTCTGATCCCTTTCAAACTGCCAAGTATTGTTTAGCGCTGATCGCTCATCGTGTGATAGCTACTTTACGGAGCCTTTTCCCCTGTGTTAGTTTCTAGTTCCAGTCTTAGTCTAGTCTCGCCGTGTTTTCTGATTTCCTGGTACCTGATTTTTGCCTGTTTATCTTAAGTTAACCCTTTGCCTGCTGTTTCGGACTGTGTTTGCACCTCGCTTGGACTCTAGCTCGTGTTATTGGACTACCCCTCATGTCAAGCCCTCTGGATATTGTTAGCCGCTTATCGACCACGCCTGTTTTGGATTACTCTTCTGTCTTGCCCTCAATATACCTGTTTGCCATTGTCTGACCCATGCCTGTTTTATGACCACGTCTCTGTCTCCTATTAAAGCTTTGCAAATGGATCCGCAAGTCTCATGTCTCGTTCGCCTCGTAACAAAATGCAGCCTTGGTGAGCAAAAGAAACATCTATCAAAAAATTCTGAGACCACTAGTTAAAAATCTTATTAAATTATATTTATAATTAAATTATAAAAGTGAAAATATCTTATTTAGTATTCCTGAATGAATGAATGATGTATTTATATAGCGCTTTATTGTGTATTGTTGTACACCCAATGCGCTTTACAAGCATGTGGGATTGTAAATATGACATTCCTGTCATATTTAGTACATTTTTCATTACAACTTAAATTATTATGAATAAATCGTATGAATTTCATGAATTTACACTTGAGCTAGCATTAAATCCACACGCTTGGGCAAAATTGGATTGTCCATGTTATTCGGCATAATTGAGAATGATCTGAATGGAAATTATGGACAAAACAAAATCTTTTGTACAAAGCAGTTACCTATAAATGTTAACAAAAAGTTAATATTTCTTATTTTGTCTGTAAACTTTTGTTTATTTATTAATTTTTTCAAAATCATAAAATATTCTTATTTTTCTCTCAGGTTAAAGTGAAATTTCATCCGTGCATTGTAAGCTGTGTATACCATATTAGTGAATGTATCATCTGTTATGTAAGTTGTCTTACTTTGATCAGTTTTTGGTGTGGCTCCACTCCATACATCACTTGAGCAATATGGGATGAACCTAAAAAGTGATAAAAAAAAATTTAGGTCCAAAATCTTTATGAAAATCACCTAAATAGGAAGAAGTAACAGAATATTTACTTCTCTTTAACACAAACATAGTGGGATACTCACACCATGTTGGCATTCCACCAGTGTGGGTTTTCCTCTGGAAGTGAAGACAGTATTCCTGTGCCTAAAGTTAAAATAAAGACATACATTATGAAATTATACAAAATAACAGAAATTAGAATAGTCTCATTTTGAAATCTAGTTTATGTGTGTTTATTGCGCCAAGAATTTTGATCTGGGTGTGAATAAGCCTTTATAGTAATATTATTAGAAATGGAGTTTCAGTTGAAAGACTGTTGGCATTTCTAACCTGTCTTAGTTTGTGGCCATTTGGAGGAGCTCATGAGCCTCCTCATGGTCTCGTATCTGCTGTCACAGTTCTCTTTGTTGAAGCAGTACCAGCCACCTGCAGAGATAGAGAGACAAGTGTCTTACATGATCTTCCTGGCAGATACACACAATGCTGTGAAAATATAGTCTGAATTCTACCGAAGTTATTCTGATGATTGAACGCTTCACACTTACCCTCCAGAAATATTAACCACCTTCTGCTTCCTTTGGACTCCTTCAGGTAGTACCTGCAATAAAGCAGATACTTGCATTAAACCTATACTTACAACTTATATATGCAAAGCACTGCCTTTTTATAAATTCAGTAAAGTATTCAATATAGTTCCTATTGTTATTTTTATCAAGTAATCTGTTAACAAAATACACTTTTTTATTATTCTAATCCTAAACAGACAATGAGTGAATGTGCGGCACATTCAGGTCATAAAAGTATGTGTGTGTGTGCGCATGTACATAAGCTGTACACGCAGATGATATAATATTATTGAAATAAAGGCCCACTTAAGTGTACTTATGACTATTTGTAAGCACACTTTTAAAAAGTGAACTTTGTAATAATGTCAATTTTAGCTTTAAAGTACATTTTAAATCATGTTTTAATAATCTTTCATCATGTTTTAAAGAAATACACTTATTTTGATGTGTTGACTAACATCCTAAAGCACATATGATTGTTTTTAACCATAGTGTTATTCAATATTACATATAAAGTTAGTATATTTTAAATATACTAAATTGCATCTCCATCATTACAACATTGTTACAACATATATATTTAAATACGTGACATACAAATTTCAATAGAAATTACATTAAAGTATATTTTAGTATACCATACATTTTTGTCAATACATTCAACACTAAACTTTAACCACATTTCAACGCAAGTCATTTTGAAAATACACATAAAAACGTACTTAAGTCTTATAAGTGAGTCAAAAAGCACTCTAAAGTTCAGCTGATGCATTTATTATAAATTATACTAGAATACATTTTCATTCAGTTCACACGTGATTTTCTATGCAATGTTCACAGTATCCAGAAGAGGGCATTCAGCTATTGTGTAAACTCAGTCTATCTCAAACTTCAGTCATTTTTGCTTGTGTGAGAAAGTTACAGTTGTGGTTCAGTTTGTTACTTTGAGGGGCATCAGTCTGCCATAATTAAAGACAGCTTAAATATGCATCCAGTTTATGCCACTGGTGACCACATTTTTGGCATATGGTGTACATTTCTCACTGTTACCCACCTCACCACTACTTACACGCTAACGATGTATGCTTCGTTACATTACAACTTATAAAGCTTGGGCTACAAGTCTGCCAGCCCTCAGAAACTTAACCTGAACAAGTTTTAAATGCAGAAAGATTAGGACAAGCCTAAATAGTTTTCTGTAGTATAGAGGAATGGTTTTGAGTTCCAGAGAACTTGGGGAATCCATGAGTGGAGTCCATCCATGTGTAACAGCATATCACACGACCCACAGCAGACCTTCTCTACAAGCACTGACTGCAGATCTGAGAAAGAACGCAGGCTGCTGCCAAAAAAATATTGCAGCTTCGGTGCATTGAAGAGCGTCTACGGTGAGCATGTTCCCAGAGTCAGAGTTTATGCCAGCTCTGATTCCCTGGTAGCAAAGCATAAAAGAACTCTAGACTGCTCAAGCATATTAATTATGATTCGTAATTGGGAACATCAGGAATTTGCAAGTCAGAATCTCAGAAACAGATGATCAATTAATGCCGGTTTGCTACTATATGCAATTCTTATATATGCGATTCTTTGTATGTAGCATTAATAATGTTAATTATAACTGCAATCAAATTTGAAGACCCATATCCCTGTGGATATCCCTTAATCCAAAACACTGTGATGTGCATAAATGTGATATGCATAAAGTAGGCTTAAGTTGCTTCATATAACACGTTTTTGAATGTCAGTTGTTTGACAATCTTTATAGCAGCAGATAGGATTTTATTTGTTGCATGATAATATGTAGTTTCATAACACAATGATGCTGGAGAATAGTATGATCAAGACCCACAATTATCATGTAAAATAAGGAAATGCGGTACAGGATACATGGACAGATTTACAAGATTTTACATTATTTCAAGATATCGTTATTATTTGATTATTTTAGGCAATATTGGCCTATACACTGTGCTGTCGCAAGGAAAGCGTACTTACGCACAGCTGGATCAAATTTTCTACTTTTGTACATCTGTCCCCACTTTCACATTTTACAAGAGTCTAACGTTTTAACTTAAGTGCTTAAGATTTAAATTTAAGACAGCAGAGGCTCAGGTATGTCATGTAATGATGTGTCTGGTGCCTAATAAATTATTCATATTGTAAATAATGTACATAACAGTCATTTCGAACATGGTAGTTATATTGTAGTGTCTAAACCCAAGCGATATACTGCCCCAATATCATATAACCAATCAACCAATATCCCGCTCTTATAAGAATTTCCCTATATACCCTATAGTGATTGGGCAATATAGCCAATTAGCTCATGTTGTTTTGACCTCAGTATCTTGAGTTGAGTCTCAGTCACCAGGTATGCTAGAAAAGTGATGCATTCAAAAATCCAAACAAAGTGAAAATTGGTGCAATACTTGGAAGGTGCGGGCGGAGGAATGTTAATGTTTCAGAACTGGTCATTGAAAACCCATAAGGATTGACCACTACTCTGGGGACGACGTGTCCCTCATGATGGTTTTGAACTTGCGCTGACATTTTCAGAGACATAGACAGCTTTTTTCTGTTATAGCATCAAATAAAATGGATATTGATTCTAAAAGATCAGCAGTCGCAGGTCTGCAAAAGCCAATTGGAGATGTCACTGAAATCAGGCATTTCTATTATATATTTGTCATGTCTACCTCAGCTGCACATCAACTCCAATGCACTTATTTTGCATATACTGTAAACTCTATAGATCATATTAAAGCACATATTTCCTTCTTACTCAACACAAGCCCCACCCACCTGTCACTGTATTACTATTTCTTCTAGTGATTCCCTTGCAAGTCTTCTCAACCTGGTCCTGGCGTGCACAACTTGCTCTGACATCTTCATCCCACAATTGTATTATTGTTTTAATATTAATATTACACTCCTGTATTAATAAATCTTGATTTGACATGAAAGTGTCATGCCATTGTCTTT